AGAAGTCTACGCGGGCCTCCAAATAAATGCAGCAGGCTCGTGCCGAAACGACCCGGGCGCTGGCTTCTGACACTGCGAAGATCGTTCAACAGCGACCGAGGACAACGATGTTCAAAACGCACGATCGCGGCTTCCCGACATCACAGATCGCTTCGTCTCGGCCGAATCCAGGCCTCTGGCGGCGTTCAACCTTGAACGTCCGCGCCGGGGTCACCGCCGCGTCGACGCGGCACGAACCTGCCGTATGTGACTGGTGGGCCGGAGGGAAGGCAGAGGACGAAGAGGCGGCATAAACACAAACTTCTCGAAAGGTGCACGCGGACTTCTTGGGTCGTCGCTGGAGGCGCCGCCACGGGGAGACCCGCGCCGATCCCAAAGACCTGCGCAGATTTCTGAAAATTTGCGTTTGTGCCGTCATGCTTCCTTCGACACGTGGGACTGTGGGGGGGGCTTGGAGGGGGGAGCGGGAGGGGGGCGACGGCAAGGAAGGAGATCCGAGTGAGGGGCAACCCGTCGACCGCGCGCCGCTGCGGCGGCAGCGAAGGCGGCAGCAATGGCGGCGCTTGTCTTCCGTAGCGAAGAGCATCCGTGGCGAAGAGCATCACAGACCTGCCACTCTTCGAGCCTGGGCGATTGCCCAGAACGAGGCCCCATGGCATAGCATTGCGCGGGACATCCAGGGCAGGTAGCCCCTGAAGAGCCGCCTGAAACCCACGAAGGGTCCGTCCTGAAACACGTCCCGCATGCAGTCCGCGTATCCTCGGTACTCCCAATTCGTATGCATCCGCGTCTTGATGCAGTCAAAAGGCAGCTCCACGTGGCAGTGCCCAAGGCCAGTCAACATCCCGGCGATCAACGCGGCGTGCGACCCGAACTGCCTCTGGAGATATTCGCTACGACCGAAAAATTCGGCCAGCCCGAAATAGGCCGCCGTCTGCCCGACGTCACGGGCGGCGCAGGCCAAGAACCCGCGGTACAGCATTCTCGCGCCATGGGCGTGCCACAGCTGCCAGAAGGTCTCCGCCAGCGGCACCCTGGAGCCCTGCGTGTTACACTTCACCATCTCGAACGGGCAAACGGCCACGGCGTAGCCCAGCCCCGAGACCGCACCGACCTCGCACACCGCGCCCGCGATGCGCGACGCGCGGTTATCTTCACGCCTTCGCGCAGCCACCTTGGGGAGGTCTGCTCAGTGGCTCTGGCCGCAACGCGCGAGGCGAAGCTATCTTCGCCCCCCCGAGGGTGACCTAGACAAAGCGGAGGAGGAGCTGGGAGAGAACGGAGGCGGGGCAGCAGCAGCACCAGGGAAGAGGGAGAGCACCCCACCACGCGCACTTCTCGGCCCGCCCTCGAGCAGCTTCAGGCCGAGAGGCTGGCCCATCTGCAGGCGCACCTTCGCCGTGTCGAGCGGGTAGCCGACGCCCACGCACGTCGCGCCAGTGATGCAGCCGAAAAGCAGCGACACGTGGAGCGGATCATCCGAGCTCTGCAGGAACGAGCAACCCTCCCCCTCCTCCATGGACCGCGCGGCGGCGAGCAGGAGGCAGGGCGAAGAGGGCGGCCGCCAGAGGAGGCCTTTTGGACAAGTGCCGGCCCCTCCTCGAAGGCTTCTGGAACGGTCCCCATGGGAGGCGGGAGGGTTTTCGGAGCGCGAGCGGAAGATCATGCGGGGCCGCCCCCGCCCCGGAGGATCTGAGGCCATCCGCCCCGCGAGCAGCACCAGAGACGCCCCCGGGCACACGGTCGCATGGATTACGAAACCGTGGATCTGGCGCGTGAGCGCCAGATCCACAGATCAGGAAACGTGCTCCCCGAAACGTGAGGCCAATACTGAAGGGGCCCTGGGACACACAAATAAGTAGACACTAATAGCAGGATCCCCCATATTGTCCTATATCTTCTGGGTTTTTGTCTTTCCCCCCACTTCCGATATTTTCCCATATTCTCTCGGGAATCGACGATTAATTGTGTCTGTGCGTTTTTCCCTCGTGAAATGCCATCTGATCTGGCGACAGACCGCGCCGATTCCGCGCGGAAACGGGGCCCGTCGCTGATCCACACGCAAAAATGAATGCTTGCGCTTCCTCGACCCCTACCTTTTGGAAACGGCCACAGGGTATGAGCTGGTCTTTCCCCAACAAAATCGACAAAAGAGGGGGATGAAAGCAAATCCGCTCAAAATCGGTCCCCAGATCGTTCCGGGGTTCCCGGAATCTGGTGCAATAGTTCACCTATGATCCGTTTCTGACAGCCCCGGGGCCGTTTTCAACGCCCCTCGCCAGCACGCCAAGCGCACACGCTCCGCGCCAGCCGTCCTCCACTCACCCCCATACTCGCCGCTAACGGCCAGGAAACGCTAAAAAACAAATTTCTACTGAATTAACCCGTGCTGAGCCACCTCAGACCCTCGGTCGGCACCGAGTTTGCGCTTCAACTTTCTTTAGCTCGGCCGCGTCACGATGACGACGGACAGTTCATAGTGGTACTAATGACGGCCACCGTTGCCTGGACAACTTCGTCCAGAGCGATAGGCCCGGCAGCGAAAGAGAAATCTGTTCTCAAAAAAAAATGCCTCCCAAAATTCTCGCGGCGGTCAGTGTAGGCCTCCTTTGCGTTTCCTCGATTCCTGCCTCCCTCCAGGGAGAACCCCCTGCTCCGTCCCTTTCGCGCTGCTTTTCCCGTCGCCCGCGCCCACTCTCGGCAAGTCACGACGACAATTCATATGAAATCTCAAAACGGAGATGGGGGGAGACCGGAGAAGAGGAGACTAGAGAAACGCATGCAACGTTAACAGCGGAGTGCGCGTTAACAGCGGAGAAAATTGTCTAACAGCGATGAACAGCGGGCGCGATGCTTCGCCAAATTGCACGTCGCAGCGGAAGGCGCAGGCAAGGACGGGGTGAGACATGCCGGGCAAGAAGGCACAGGACTGATGAGGTACTGGTCGAGTCTGGTGCTCAAATCGGTCCGTCGTGCACTCTTTGGTGCCAAACTGCTGCTGGGGTGCTCTACTGACCGCACTCGTAAAACATGCCTGCAAGCATCGCGCGAGAGACTACTGGTGGAGCACAGGCAAATGCGCGCTGCTCGTCAGCTGACATACTCAGCTGGAGCAGCACTCATTCGTCGCTCTCGTCGTCAACGCAAGCAGAACTTTACCATATCTTGGCTGGTGGGTAGGTCGACGTGCATCCAAGTGGGCGGAACCATGCTGACCAAACACCGGCGCTACGGTGGTCACCCTCGCGACACAGGCAGACGAGTCGCTTCTTCACAGCTGAGTGAAAGAACTGTTCTGCGAGCTCGGGGCGGCCTTCTTCCCCTTTTCTGGTCGCTGAACATGACCGCATCATAATCACAGCTAATCTGGCCGCCCATCACGCCGAGGACGAGCCAACTGCCCACGCTGCCCTCGGCCCCAGGGACGGCCCGCACATCGCGAGCGTCGCCCCAAGGCAGATCCGCGGCGCGCAGCTGGCCAGCTAACCAGCACAGGCGGCCAGCCACGCTGCTCTCAGACGGCGGCCGCGCCGGGTCCATGAAGAGGGAGCTGAAGACGGACACACCGTCGACGATTGGATCTACAGGGATCACACAACCCCCTTCCTTCCTCAGCCCACTGGCCCCCTCAGCAGAGGCGGGGCCGCGCGCCGTTCAGAGCGGCGCGAGGAGGCGCGCCCGCAGTTCGTCGGCCCCGCCGAAGATCTGCACGCCAGCCTGCGCGATCGGCTCGCTGCGCCCAGCAAGTGGCAAACCTGATTGCCAGCGCGGCGGCACTGGCCGAGACGCGCGTTCACGGCCCCTCTCACGCCGCACCCTGTCCCCACCCCCCCGTTGAACGAGTCGTCGCTGCGCGCGCCAAGGCGCCCTGAGCACTCCATGGCTGGAAATGCGACGCGCGCTTAGATCTTCTGCATGGCCAGAACAGCTGAGTTGGGATGCATCACGCGTCGGATGAGCAGCTTGCCCCAGGCTCGCTGCAGGGCGACGACGCACACGGCGACGCGGTGCTGAGCGAGCTCCGAGGAAGGAAACAAAGAGGTCTGAAGGTCTGGAAGCTGACCTCCGGCCAGCTCGTCAAGTCCGCGCCTGGACTGGGTCGACATGTCTGATCGGCATCAGAGAGTCGGCGCACTCGCCCTTGTCGATCGTCACGGCGCCATCGGCGCCGCGGTGCCGGTGAACTCCGCAATAATTCGTGAAATCGCCAAAATCACCTTCCACCTTGCCGAAGAAGCCCTCGATGCGCCCGATTGGCCGGTCGACGTGCTCCGCATGTCCAGCGATCTCCAGAGCGTCGACACGCCGGAACACCGTGAGCACTAGCTCCTAGACGCAGGCGCCAGAGGCACCTGACGTCTCGCGATTGACCTCAAGCTCTGGGCCCAACCCAGCAGGCTCGGCGCTGCGCTCTGGCGCGCGCGCGCCCCGCGCGAGCTCCATGGAGAAGGCTCGGAACACATCGTTGCAGCCCGCGCCTGGCTTGATGCCGCGCAAGCACAAAGTCTGCTCGACGCAGCTTTCGCAGCCGGGCACAGGACGCAAGACGGCAACACTGCCGTGCGGCAAGGGTGAAATTCAACTCGCGGGGTGCTTCACCTCGTTTCTGCATCTCGGCGTAGGTCGCGCCTCGCAGGAACGCCTTCCCGACGCCCACGGCGACGCACACCCGGTCTCGGCGACGCGCCACCTCGGAGGACAGCAGGCGCTGCGACGCCCGCAGCGCAGCCACAACGAACGCCTCAAGGGCTCTAGCGCTCGCGTCGCGGAGGCCCCCTATCGCCGAACGAAACCGGATGTTCCGCACAGTCTTGCCGTCTGCCCCCTTCCAGTGTTTCCACTTGAAGACGCGTCTGGGCGCATCACCTTTCGGGCGCCCTCGAGCTGTCGCCACTCGAAACACTTGTACTTGGCCCAGGCAGTCAGCTCTTCGAAGATGGCCGCTGCGACGTCCAATGGAAGCCTCGGCACTTCTTTAACAGAAGGACGGCGTCGCGCTTCATGACCCCAGAATTAACGGCGGAATCTATGACGGGCACGGCTGTCCAGGGGGCGCGAACAACACAGTCGCCAGACGCCCCCTCATCAAAAATCACGAATGCTCTACGCACCCCAGGATCAATATACACATCCACATGCCGTCATCCTTCGTCGTCGTCGCCCCCCTCCTCGTCCTCCAGCGCGGCGTAGTCGTCCGCAGAGGCCGCGCGCAGGTAGTAGTGGCAATGTGCGTGGATGCTATGGCGCTGGCGCTGCGTTTCGAGGCGCTGGGGTCACTCGCGGGGCCTGCGGCCAAGGCCAGCCGCGGCGTGTTCGACAGCGGCGTAGATATCATAACGTTGACTGTCGGCGCTCTCCAGCTCCCCGAGCTCCCGGGCCAGGTCTTCTGCCCCTTCGACCTCGCGCCAGGCTGCCAAGATCACCTAGTGGACGCGGCCGGAGAATTCCGTCGGTCTCCGCGGACATTGCCGACAGGGCCGATGGCGAACCGCACTCGGCGGCGCTGGCTGTGCCCACGGGAACGTCGAGACACGGCCATGCAACAATCCATATAGGTCCTGTTCGGCGTCTGCAACCTTTAGCGGCTCGTCCCCCAAGAAGATCAACTGAATGACGCGAGCTTCCTTCCAATGCTCGCCGATGAACTGATGGGCGTCGACCTCAACGCCGCCGAGGTGCATCTGGCGGACGTCGCTCGGGCTCTGAAGGAGCCGCTCGATAGCCAAACTGCGGGTGCAGCCTGGCCTGTGGCCCACGGATTTCTGGCCGCACATCAGACGCACTGCACGAACGCCCGGCAGCTGGTAGCATCTGCGGGACAGATGGTGCAGGGCTTCGGGAGTGCCGGGGCGATGCCGGGTCTGCGCGGTGACCTGCACGCCCCAAACGTCCTCCCAGCGGCCCACGGTCGTGGTCCCGGAGCCTGGCACGACGTCCTCTAAGGAGTCCTCCACGCGGCCCCAGGTCAAGCCTGCCCGCGCCACGGCAGTGCCCACGTCGTCGAAGACGGCGCCGCTGAAGGCCTGGACATCTTGCAATCTGCACACCATCCCGGCTCGGCTG